CAACCACACCAACACCAACCACACCAACCACACCAACACCAACCACACCAATCACACCAACACCAACCACACCAACCACACCAGCCAACCATCCACACCAACCACACCAACACCAACCACACCAACCACACCAACACCAACCACACCAACCACACCAGCCAACCATCCACACCAACCACACCAACACCAACCACACCAACCACACCAACACCAACCACACCAACCACACCAACACCAACCACACCAACCACACAGCCAACCATCCACACCAACCACACCAACACCAACCACACCAACCACACCAACACCAACTACACCAACACCAACCACACCAACCACACCAACACCACCACACCAACCACACCAGCCAACCATCCACACCAACCACACCAACACCAACCAAATCAACCACACAAACACCAACCACACCAACACCAACCACATCAACCACACCAACACCAACCACACCAACACCAACCAACCAACCACACCTACACCAACCACAGCAACACCAACCAACACCAACCACACCAACCACACCAACACCAACCACACCAACCACACCAGCCAACCATCCACACCAACCACACCAACACCAACCACACCAACACCAACCACACCAACCACACCAACACCAACCACACCAACCACACCAACCACACCAGCCAACCATCCACACCAACCGCACCAACACCAACCACACCAACCACACCAGCCAACCATCCACACCAACCACACCAACCACACCAACACCAACCACACCAACCACACCAACACCATCCACACCAACCACACCAGCCAACCATCCACACCAACCACACCAACACCAACCACACCAATCACACCAACACCAACCACACCAACCACACCAGCCACCATCCACACCACCACACCAACACCAACCACACCAACCACACCAACACCAACCACACCAACCACACCATCCAACCATCCACCCAACCACACCAACACCAACCAACCAACCACACCAACACCAACCACACCAACACCAACCACATCAACCACACCAACACCAACCACACCAACACCAACCAACCAACCACACCAACACCAACCACACCAACACCAACTACACCAACCACACCAGCCAACCATCCACACCAACCACACCAACACCAACCACACCAACACCAACCACACCAACCACACCAACACCACCACATCAACCACACCAACACCAACCACACCAACACCAACCAACCAACCACACCAACACCACCACACACCACACCAACACCAACCACACCAACCACACCAGCCAACCACCCACACCAACCACACCAACACCAACCACACCACCACACCAACACCAACCACACCAACTACACCAACACCACCACACCAACCACACCAGCCAACCATCCACACCAACCACACCAACACCAACCACACCACCACACCAACACCAACCACACCAGCCACCATCCACACCAACCACACCAACACCAACCACACCAACACCAACCACACCAGCCACCATCCACACCAACCACACCAACACCAACCACACCAACCACACCACACCAACCACACCAACCACACACCAACCACACCAACCACACCAGCCAACCATCCACACCAACCTTACCAACACCAACCAACCAACCACACCAACACCAACCACACCAACCACACCAACACCAACCACACCAACCACACCAACACCAACTACACACACACCAGCCAACCATCCACACCAACCACACCAACACCACCACACCAACCACACCAACACCAACCACCCAACACCACAACACCAACCACACCACACCCAACCACTCCAACCACACCAACACCAACCACACCAACACCAACCACCAACCACACCAACACCAACCAACCAACCACACCAACACCAACCACACCAACCAAACCAACACCAACCACACCAACCACACCAACACCAACCACACCAACCACACCAACCCCAACCACACCAACCACACCAGCCAACCATCCACACCAACCATACCAACACCAACCACACCAACCACACCAACACCTACCACACCAACCACACCAACACCAACCACACCAACCACACCAACACCAACCACACCACCCCACCACCAGCCACAACCACCACCACACCAACACCAACCACACCAACCACACCAACACCAAACACACCAACACCAACCACACCAACCACACCAACACCAACCACACCAACCACACCAACACCAACCACACCAACCACACCAGCCAACCATCCACACCAACCGCACCAACACCAACCACACCAACCACACCAACACCAACCACACCAACCACACCAGCCAACCATCCACACCAACCACACCAACACCAACCACACCAACCACACCAACACCAACCACACCAACCACACCAGCCAACCATCCACACCAACCACACCAACACCAACCACACCAACCACACCAACACCAACCACACCAACCACACCAACACCAACCACACCAACCACACCAGCCAACCATCCACACCAACCACATCAGCCAACCATCCACACCAACCACACCAACACCAACCAACCAACCAACCACACCAACACCAACCACACCAACCACACCAACACTAACCACACCAACCACACCAACACCAACCACACCAACCACACCAGCCAACCATCCACACCAACCACACCAACACCAACCAACCAACCAACCACACCAACACCAACCACACCAACCACACCAACACCAACCACACCAACCACACCAACACCAACCACACCAACCACACCAGCCAACCATCCACACCAACCACACCAACACCAACCACATCAACCACACAAACACCAACCACACCAACACCAACCACATCAACCACACCAACACCAACCACACCAACACCAACCAACCAACCACACCTACACCAACCACAGCAACACCAACCAACACCAACCACACCAACCACACCAACACCAACCACACCAACCACACCAGCCAACCATCCACACCAACCACACCAACACCAACCACACCAACACCAACCACACCAACCACACCAACACCAACCACACCAACCACACCAACCACACCAGCCAACCATCCACACCAACCGCACCAACACCAACCACACCAACCACACCAGCCAACCATCCACACCAACCACACCAACCACACCAACACCAACCACACCAACCACACCAACACCATCCACACCAACCACACCAGCCAACCATCCACACCAACCACACCAACACCAACCACACCAATCACACCAACACCAACCACACCAACCACACCAGCCAACCATCCACACCAACCACACCAACACCAACCACACCAACCACACCAACACCAACCACACCAACCACACCAGCCAACCATCCACACCAACCACACCAACACCAACCAACCAACCACACCAACACCAACCACACCAACACCAACCACATCAACCACACCAACACCAACCACACCAACACCAACCAACCAACCACACCAACACCAACCACACCAACACCAACTACACCAACCACACCAGCCAACCATCCACACCAACCACACCAACACCAACCACACCAACACCAACCACACCAACCACACCAACACCAACCACATCAACCACACCAACACCAACCACACCAACACCAACCAACCAACCACACCAACACCAACCACACCAACCACACCAACACCAACCACACCAACCACACCAACACCAACCACACCAACCACACCAACACCAACCACACCAACCACACCAGCCAACCATCCACACCAACCACACCAACACCAGCCACACCAACCACGCCAACACCAACCACACCAACCACACCAGCCAACCATCCACACCAACCACACCAACACCAACCACACCAACCACACCAACCACACCAGCCAACCATCCACACCAACCACACCAACACCAACCACATCAACCACACCAACACCAACCACACCAACCAAACCAACACCAACCACACCAACCACACCAACCAACCATCCACACCAACCACACCAACACCAACCACACCAACACCAACCACACCAACCACACCAACACCAACCACACCAACCACACCAGCCAACCATCCACACCAACCACACCAACACCAACCACACCAACACCAACCACACCAACCACACCAACACCAACCACACCAACCACACCAACACCAACCACACCAACACCAACCACACCAACCACACCAACACCAACCATACCAACCACACCAACACCAACCACACCAACCACACCAGCCAACCATCCACACCAACTGCACCAACCAAACCACCTACGCATTCTACGCCATCCACACTGTCTACTCCATCCACACCATCTGCACCATGTACACCAACCAAACCATCCACACCAACCAGACCAACTTACACCATCCACACCATCTGCACAAACCAGACCACCCACATGTTCTACACCATCCACACCATCCACGCTGTCTACACCATCCACACTATACACAACATATACACCAACACACCAACTACACCAACCACATCATTCATACCAACCGCACCAACCACACCATCCACACCAATAACACTATCTGCACAATCCACACCATCAATAGCAACCACACCAGGGCTGGAGCAATAGCACAACAGGTAGGGTGTTTGCGTTGCACGTAGCTGACCCGGGTTTGATTCCCAGCATCCCATAGGGTCCCCCGAGCACCGCCAGGAGTAATTCCTGAGTGCATGAGCCAGGAGTAGCCCCTGTGCCTCGCCGGGTGTGACCCAAAAAGAAAAAAAAAAACATCACCACTGTCTACACCCTCCACACCAACCACACCGTCCACACCATCCACACCCATCGCACCTGCCTCACCATCCACATTGCCGGGACCGTCACCACCGTCCACATTATCCATACCAACCACACCATCCACACTGTCTACACCACCCCATCCTCCCTACCGTCTACCCCACGCACACCATCTGTATCCATGACCCCCTGCACACCCTCTGCCATCCATACCCTCCCCCGAACCGCCACCCCTTCCCGCCCAGCCCCCAGACAGGCCCCCTCACCAGCGTTTGCAGAGCGGAGGTCAGCGTGCGGCGGTACTCGGAGTCGGCCCGCTCCAGGCCGGGGCTGTACCGGATGCCTCGCAGCTCGGCCACGTGCTGCACTGTGACGGCCTGTGTGGACACGGCGGCTGCGGGGCCCCCCGCGTCCCTGAGCGCGCTCCCTCCCACGGGCCCTGTCCCCCCCTCCTGCGGGAGAGGTGCCCCGACACCCTCGCAGCAGGCCCCGATGCCCCCTTCTCGGAAAACACCTGTCTCTAAGCGCGCAAATAAGGCCAGGGCTGGCCGAGGACACGCTGGCCACTCAGTCCACTGGGCAAGGACTGTGCCAGCCACAAAGGCCCATGGACAGGCACAAATTTCCGGGGCTCACTGCAGTGCCTTAGCGGGGTTTCCAGGCCCCTGGTTCTTTTTTTTTCTTTTTTTTTTTCTTTTTGGGTCACACCTGGTGATGCTCAGGAGTTACTCCTGGCTCTGGACTCAGGAATTACTCCTGGTGGTGCTCGGGGAACCATATGGGATGCTGGGGCTCGAACCTGTGTCGGCGGTGCGCAAGGCAAACGCCCTACCCGATGTACTATCTCTCCGGGCCTGGTTTCTTTTACTGGAGGGTGATTTGGGTTACACCTGGTACTTTCAGAGTGCTCCTAGCTCAGTGCTCAGGGTTGGCCATATGCGTGACCTTGCCCTGTCCACTCGGACTACCTTTCAGTTCAGAATTTCCTTGGGGTTTTGAGCCTCCACAGTGGTGCTGGGGGCCACCAGGTTTATACTCATGGGGGCTTGGGAGGCTCTTAGGGGTTCAACACGGGGCCCTGTGCAAGCTGAGAATCTGTCTCCCACACCCCCGGCCTCTCAGCTGCTTTCCTAACTGTGCATTTCAGTTTCTTTCCTTCCCTTCCTTGTTCTTTTCCTTCCTTTCTTCCTTCCCTTCCTCCCTCTCTCCTTCCTCCCTCCCTCCCTCTCTCTCCCTCTCCTTCCTTTCCTCCTTCCTTCCCTCCCTCCTTCCTTCCTTCCTTCCTTCCTTCCCTCCCTCCCTCCCTCCCTCCATCTTTCTCCTTCCTTCCTTCCTTCCTTCCTTCCTTCCTTCCTTCCTTTCTCTTTCTTTCTTTCTTTCTTTCTTTCTCTCTCTTTCTTTCTTTTTCTCTCTTTCTTTCTCTTTCTTTCTTTTTTTCTTTCTTTCTCTTCCTTCCTTCCTTTCTTTCTTTCTTTCTTTTTCTCTCTTTCTTTCTTTTTCTCTCTTTCTTTCTCTCTCTTTCTTTCTTTTTCTCTCTTTCTTTCTCTTTTTCTCTCTTTCTTTCTCTTTCTTTCTTTCTTTCTTTCTTTCTCTGTCTTCTTTCTCCTTCCTTCTTCTTTCTTCTTTTCCTTTCCTTTTTTCGAGGGAAGGGAGAAACCACACCCTGCAGTGCTCAGAGCTAACTCCAGGCTTTGTGATCAGGGATCACTCCTGGTGGGGATCAGAGGACCCTATTCAGCACTAGAGATATGTCTGGGGTTGACTACATCCGAGGCAAGTGCCTTACTCCGTGAGCTCTCTCTGGCCCTTTAAATGCAATAATGCAGCAAGTTGGGCATTTGCCTTGTACATGGCCAACTCAGGTTTGATCCCCGGAATCCCATAGGGTCTTGAGTCCACCAGGACTGATCCCTGAAGGCAGAGTCAGGAGTCAGCCTGAGCACTACCAGGTATGACTCCAAAACCAACAAACAGCGCCCCCTCCAAAACAAGCAAACCATCAGTTTTGCTTTGGCGGTGGGGAAGATAGTACAACAGGAAGGGCGTTTGCTTCAGATGGAGAATATCGCATATGCTCCCCTGAGTGCAGAGCCAGGAGAAAGTCCTAGCATTTAATGAACAAACACACGAAATAAAACAAAACCCTAATTTGCGTGACTCAAGAGGGGAAAAAAAAGTGCTCCTGTTTCAGGGCTTCTACTGAAGATAAGATTCAGCTATTGTTCTGGAAATCTGTGCTTCTAAAATACAGGGGTGGGGGCTGGAGCAATAGCCCAGCGGGGAGGGCGTTTGCCTTGCACGCGGCAGACCCGGGTTCGAATCCCAGCATCCCATATGGTCCCCGGAGCACCACCAGGAGTGATTCCTGAGTGCAAAGCCAGGAGTAACCCCTGAGCGTCGCCGGGTGTGATCCAAAAAGCACTGTCACTGTCACTGTCCTCCCGTTGTTCATCGATTTGCTCGAGTGGGCCCAGTAACATTGTGAAACTTGTTAGTATGTTTGGCATATCAAATAAGTCACAGGTAGCTTGCCAGGCTTTGCCATGCGGGCAAGATACTCTCGATAGCTGGCCAGGTTCTCCAAGAGGGGCGGAGGAATCGAACTCGGGTCGGCCATGTCGGCTGCGTGCAAGGCAAACGCCCTACCCGCTGTGCTATCGTTCCAGCCCACCCAAAAAGCAAAATAAATAAATAAATAAACAAATAAATAAAGTACAGGGGTGAGGGGCTGGAGCGATAGCACAGCGGGGAGGGTATTTGCCCTGCATATGACCAACCTAGGTTCGATCCCCAACATCCCATAAGGTCCCCTAAGCACTCCGGGGGAAATTCCTGAGTTCAGAGCAGAATGTGACCCAAAAGTCCAAAATAAATAAAAATAAAATATAGGTGTTCTGAGTGTAAGGACAGAGGTGTTCCTGTACACACACACACACATACACACACATTCATGCTCACGCATGCACTCACACACACAGCCACTCCATGCATACATGTACTCACATATGGTCACAAATAATTGTATGAGCACGATGCATACATGCACAAACACACACCCTCACGGTGAACAACCATACACATGTACACACACAGGGACCAACACAGCACACACGCACACGTGTACACGTGTGCACACAGACACGGCACAAACAGTGCAAACGCACCCACACGATATGTGCTCTCACACGGAAACATAGAACACCGGTTTTCCTGCACTTTCTCCTATTGTCACCAGGGGGCGCTCGTCAGCCATGCTAGACTACACACTGTTGGGTGGGGGGGGTTCTTTTTTTTTTTTTTTTTTTTTTTTTTTGCTTTTTGGGTCACACTTGGCGATGCTCAGGGCTGACTCCTGGCTCTGCACTCAGGAATTACTCCTGGCGGTGCTTGGGGGACCCTATGGGATGCCGGAGATCGAACCCAGGTTGTCCTAGTGCAAGGCAAATGCCCTACCCGCTGGACTATCACTCTGGCCCTGCCGGTTCTGACCCTGGTACCCTTGAACAAGATGCATCATCACTTGCATCTTCTCTCTGAAGTGACAACTCTGGGGCCAAGGGGAGCGAGTGGGGGAAAGAACCCAGGGGGCTGAGCACAGACTTGGCAAACAGGAGACCCAGGTGTGAGCCCCTGCACCGCAGGGTCCCCTGAGCACTGCTGAGTGTAGCCACTCCTACCCCCCCCAAAAAATAACCCAAACTTGGTTGCCTTACACACAAATACCAGGCATCTCCCCTCCCCCCCTCCGCCTGCCCCAGCACCCTGCTTTGATGGTGGGAAAAGAAACACATTTTCCACTGATTTCTCAAGCCCGCTTTTCCCGTGGCTATTAAAATGGATTGAGGGATTGGGACTGGAGCGACAGCACAGCGGGGAGGGCTGGGTTCGAGCCCCAGCACCCCATACAGTCCTCGGAGCCCCTCCAGGAGTGATCCCTGAGCAGAGAGCCGGGCATCAGCCCTAAGCATCACCGGTGTGGCCCCAAAACAAAACAGAAAACAAAAAAATAAACTGAGCTGGGGAACCCTCCAGAGGGAAAACCGAGGGGCAGGGGCGCCTGAGCCCCTGCACGTGGAAAATCCAGGGTACCCCACACCTGGGCCTTTGTCTCAGCTACTGCAGGAAGGTCGGTTGCAGCCCCTTGGCGCTGAGCTGCGCACTCCCGCCCCAGCACCGTGGGAACCGCGGGGAACCCCCCCCCCACTTACCCGCGAGAACTCCTAACGCCGCCAGGACAGCGCCAGTGACCAGCGCGGCAGAGAGGGCCTCGCGGCAGCCCACACCAGACGCCTCCTTGGTGGCCCCGGTGCCGAGCTGCGAGTGTCCCATGGTGGGTGGCTTCATGGTACCTGGTGGGGGGCAGGAAACGGTTCAGGGGCGTGGAGCCCTCTCCCCATCACATGTTGGTACCCCCTGGGAGCTGGGCCCAAGGCTATGGAACCCTCAGAATCGAGGGGTCCCTGCAAATGGACATCCAGAAAGGGGTCTGAAGAATCCTCTTGTCTCTGGATATCGGGGTTTAAAACCGTGGGTTGTGGGCTTAAGCAACAGGACAGCAGACAACATGGGTTCGATCTCCGGCAGCCCATAGGGTCCCCTGAGCACTGCCAGGAGTGATCCCTGAGCATCTTCAGGTGTGGACCCAAAATTAACAACAAAAAATCCCAGACCTGGGGCTGGAGTGATAGCACAGCGGGTAGGGTGTTTGCCTTGCACGCGACTGACCCGAATTCGATTCCCAGCATCCCATATGGTCCCCCGAGCAACGCCAGGAGTAATTCCTGAGTGCAGAGCCAGGAGTAACCCCTGTGCATTGCCGGGTGTGACCCAAAAAGCCAAAACTAAAATACAATGAAATTAAAATATTGCAAACTAAATAGTCTAGGAGAAACTTTGAAAGTTAATTTAAAATTTAAAAATTATCTAGTGATGGCTAACATTCCAATGAATAAAATACCGTGAGTTGTATACTTTATTTTACTTTTTGGGTCACACCTGGTGATGCACAGGGGTTACTCCTGGCTCATGCACTCGGGAATTACTCCTGGCAGTGCTCAGAATCACTCCTGGCAGTGCTCAAGGGACCATATGGGATGCCAGGGATCGAACCCAGGTTGGCCGCGTGCAAGGCAAACACCCTACCCGCTGTGCTATCACTCCGACCCCTACAGTTTTTTTATTATTATTAAATCACCACGAAATTGTCAGTTACAAAGTTTTTTCTTCCATATGGGGCCACACCCAGCGATGCTCTGTGCTGATTCCTTTCCCTGCACTCAGGGCCACTTTGGGCGGGACTCAGGGGGACCCTATGGGACGCTAGGGATTAGGCCCGAATGGGATTAGGCCCGAATGGGACCACGTGCAAAGCAAACACCCTCCCCATGTACTCTCACTCTGACCCCATATTTTATTATTTTTTTCTTTGGGCGGAGGTGTGGGGCCCCAACTGGCGATGCTCAAGGCTGACTCCTAGCTCTGCACTCAGGGATCACTCCTGGAGGGGCCCCAGGACCCTGTGGGATGCTGAGAATAGAACCCGGGTTGGCTGGGTGCAAGGCCAGTGTCCTCCCTACTGTGCTATCACTATTTCTTGTGAAATCCTAGTCCAGCCTCAGAAAATTTTCTCCTACAAATCAGTCTGGTTGTAATAGTTGGATGATCCCTTATTTTTTTGTTTTTTTGGGTCACACCTGGCGATGCACAGGGGTTACTTCTGGCTCTGCACTCAGGAATTACTCTTGGTGGTGCTCAGGGAACCATATGGGATGCTGGGAATTGAACCCGGGTTGGCCGCGTGCAAGGCAAATGCCTTACCCGCTGTGCTATCCCTTCAGCCCCTGATCTTTTTCTTTTCTTTTTTTTTTCTTTTTGGATCACACCCAGCAATGCTCAGGGGTTACTCCTGGCTCTGCACTCAGGAATTACTCCTTGCAGTGCTTGGGGGACCATATGGGATGCCAGGGATTGAACCCGGGTTGGCTGCGTGCAAGGCAAATGCCCTACCTGCTGTACTATCACTCCAGCTGATAGGTCGATGATCTTAAACTTAAAAATAACCTATTTTTAGATAGATGATAGAGACTGCAGAACTGGAGGAATAGTATAGCAGATACTAGTTCATAGCCGACCTGAGTTCAATGCCCAGAACCCCATAAGGTCCCCTGGGCCCACTAGGAGGGATTCCTGAGCACAGAGCCAGGAGTCAGCCCTGAGCACTACCAGATGTGACCTCAGAAAGCCAAAATAATAATAGGAGAATCAAAACCCTAATCCAGCAGAGAGGGTGTTTGACTCGCACACAGACAGGTTGGGTTTGGTCACCCACCTCCCACAGGGTCCCCGGACACAGCCAGGAGTGATTCCTGAGTAACCTCTGAGCATTGCTGGGTGTAACCTGAAAAGCAAACAAAACAAAACAAAAACACACACCCCCTAAAAAAAAAACAAGAAAAAAAAATCAAGGGGCTGGAACAATAGCACAGCGGGTAAGGCGTTTGCTTTGCACACAGTCAAACTGGGTTCGATTCCCAGCATCCCATATGGTCCCCCGAGGACGGCCAGGAGGAGTAATTCCTGAGTGCAGAGCCAGGAAGAACCCCTGAAAATCACCCGGGTGTGATCCAGGAAAGCAAAACCAAAATTTTTTTAAATTAAAAAATAAAATTTGGGGGGGCTGGAGCAATAGCACAGCAAGTAAGGCGTTTGCCTTGCACGCAGCCGACCTGGGTTCAATTCCCAGCATCCCATATGGTCCCCTGAGCACCACCAAGAGTGCATGAACCAGGTGTAACTCCTGTGCATCGCCAGGTGTGACCCAAAAAGCAAATAAATAAATAAATGGGAAAAAAAGTTTTATTTTTATATGAAAAGTTTTATTTTTAGATAAATAGCCCCCGCCCTCCAAGTTATTATCAAAGACCCTACTTGGTGTTTTATCTTTCCAAGGGAGCTGGTGCTGGCAGGAGAATGTCCCAAGGTTCCGGACTTAACCCCCCACCCTCCACCATCACCCCCCCACACCCCATCCCCGTCCCGCACCCCGGAAAGCCGATCCCGTCTCCTCCCACGGGCGCCGCGCACCGACTCGCTTTCAGAGGAACCCTGGGATCTCCAAGAATCGCTCGATGACATGTTCACTCGGGGACAAAGGCGATGACAGACTACTCCTGCGCGGGGCGCGCACACTGCGTCCATTCACGCCGCGCCCCTGCGCGCTGCACCCCCCAGGGCTCTGAGGCTCCCTGTGTCCCCGCCACCGTCCTGTCATCACCGCGGCCTGTGCCCAGCAGCGCTATTCAGCCATGCACATAGAAGCGCTATTCATGAAGCTTCCCAGCCCTCTGGAGGGGCCTCTGTACTGGGTGGGGGGGCGGGGTTTCCAACTCCCCGACGCTGGGGGACACCCCAGCTGTCCTCTGAGCACAGCTGGGACCCAAATCTATCAAAATCACGATGTCCCCATGCATCTGGTGATATGGGACAGCAGGAGGGAGCCTGGCCTTGCACACACCCAACCAGGGTTCAACCCCCGGGACCCCCCAGGGTCCCTGAGCAATGCCGGGGGTGATCCTGGAGCACAGAGCCAGGAGTAAGCCCTGAGCACTGCTGAGTATGACACCCTCCCCCCCAAAAAAGATGCAGAGCCCCAATTTTGGGTGGGTTTTTTTTTTTGGAGGCACAGCTGACAAAAGCAGCCAAGCTTACTCCTCTCTCTGTGCTCAGGGATTGCTCCTGGCAGACAGAGTCCACACTTTGGTCAAACACAGAAAGAAGTTTTAGTTTGTGCCCTGGAACTGGTTCTGCAGGGTGACCTTTGGGAGGATGAGAATAACCAGGGCAGAAATCAATGGATCAGTCAATGCATTGATCAATGAAAACCGAAATAATAACAGGAGGGCCAAGCCATAGTCAAGTGGAGAGGGCTATTGATGAGTCAATCAATAAATTAAGCCATAAATCAGAGACCCGATCAATGAGTGGATCAAGGAGCCAATAAATCTATGCCCCAATGAATTCGTCGATGAGTCAATGAAAAAGATTAATGTTTTGTTTCCTCCATGATTTAGTTAATGAATCAATCAATACACTCCCCCATGAGTCATTGGTTCAATCAAAAACTTATCCCAAAATCAGCCTTAATGAATTGGTCCATGAATATGTCCCTAAAGCAAACATAAAATTGGGAACTTCTGTGCTTTTTTGGGGGGTTTGTTTGTTTGTTTGGGGTCCACATCCAGTGATGCGCAGGGCTACTTCTGGTGGGCTTGGGAACCATACGGGATGCCAGGGATCGATCCCAGGTCTGCTGTGTGCAAGGTTAGCGCTCTACCCACTGTCCTATCTCTCCTGCCCCCTATTAAAACCTCTGAACTCCAAAGTTTGAAGCGATGGGTGATACCCCAGTTCATGATGGCAGAAGGGCTGAGCATGTAGGCACAAGGAACAGACAAGGGGAGCTGGGGTCTGGCTGGCATTTCCCTGGTGCTACTGATAATACTGCTAACATGTATGTATCAGAGATGGGTGTGGGGGCGTGCTCAGGCCTGAGTGTGGAGTCTTGTGGGAAGGATAAGAGCACCAAGAACTTCCTATGGGGTAGTGGTACCCGGACATTCCAAGTTGTATTGCTGCACCTGAGCCCTGCAGCTCTTGGGGGCAAGCACCTGGGTCAGTGGTTCTATCCAGGATCGGTGGGGTTCTGTTCCCCGGTTGGTGGGGTTCTGTTCCAGCTTTCTCATGAGGAGCTTCCAGGTGACCAAGTGTTAACAGGCCATAACTGAAACAGTCGCAGATTCTAGACGTTTCTGCCAGTTTTTTCTTTTTTTTTTCTTTGGCATCTAGTACGGTTCCGGGCTTACTCCAAGATCCCTTGTGGTGCTCAGGGGGACCCTATGGGATGCCAGGGATTGAACCCAGGTTGGCAGAGTGCAAAGCCAGTGCCCTCCCCACTGTACTACCGCCCCATCCCTGGTTCTGCCCATCTTTCTGAGGAGCTGCCTAATCCAAAGGTGGTTTGGGGACAACCTCCCCCATCTCCTGGGGCAACCGTTTCCAGGTTCCAAAGCTGAGAAGGAGTGTGTGTGTGTGTGTGTGTGTGTGTGTGTGTGTGTGTGTGGAGGGGGGAGTGGTAACCACTCAAAGGGCCCAACACTAGCTCTGCTCCCAGGAGGCCCAGTTTCATCTAGACACCCAAGGGACCCCTAACACCATTGGAAGCATGCAGGAACAGGGTTTTGCACCTTGGGGTGTGGGCCAAGACCCCCAACCCTCTCTCTGCAAACAGGGAAGGGGGAACCACGCATGATGGGGACCGGACCCCAAGGGGTGCAGAGGAGGCCAGT